CAGGTGAAGATACCCAGTAGGCAGTTGTATCTAGAGCTTGGGAGGGCATTCAGAGCTCAATGGCATCAAATACGAGAGAGATGCTAAAGAGGACAAGGGACCAAGAAATGACCCAAGAATTTGGTGACTGAGCTCACTGATGACTTTTTGAGGGAGCAGAATTCAGATGCCATGGCCTGAGTGGGCATTGAGGGCTTAAATCGTACAAAAGGGGACTGGTTGCATTGTCTGAAATAATTTAAAACCCCTTTAAGAAACTGAAATCCTTGGGGTACCTGGCTGGCTCAGTCTGTAGAGCATGAGACTCCCATTTTGGCGTCAGTTGAAGCCCCATGTTGGGCAAAATAAAAATAAAATCCGAGGTCCTTGCACAAACAAATGGGTTATAGGTAGCTGCCCTTTTTACATGCTTGCTGATAAAGGAGGAGGGATATGTTGGTGTCAGGAAAAGATAAGGCATTCACCCCATCCTTACAGGAAAATAGCTCCTGGCTCTATGAAATTAGCTTTCCAAAGAACAGGGAGATGAGACAGCTCCCTGCCTCCTATGACCTCCAGAATTCAAGCTGAAGGGCTGGAGGTGGGAGAGGGATGCCCTCTTTAACAACTGCTGGGTGGGGTGGGCCAACCAGACACTGCCAGGACAGGTGTGAAGAGACATATATCTTCAGAGGAAAGAAAGCAAACACGCTGGACTCAGGCAATCCTGGGTTTGAATCTTGTCTCTGTCGCCACCTAGCTAGAAGACCTTGGGCAAGTTACTTAACCTGAACACCCAGCTCCGCATCTGTAAAATGGAGACAATTATGCCTGCTTTTCAGGGTGGTTTTGAGGATTACAGAAAAGTGACTGGCACACAGTAGGTCATCGTAAGTGGGTGCTATTAAGTGATCCAGCCCCTCGCTATGGGACAGAACGGCTAGCGGATGGGTCATAAAACGCGACCTTCGATCTTAGAGGGTAGGGAGGGCTCCCGGCGGCCTCCTCCCTCCAGGAGGTGGGGACAAGGTGGAGGAAGGGCTGCTGGAGGAGGAGCTGGCTCGTCGCGACCCGCCCCGTCCCGTCCAGTCCGGCCTGGGCGCCGAGGGAACCGCTGTCCTAGCTGTCGCCCCCTGAGCAGCCTGTCCTGGTGCCCCGTGCCTTGGCCCGCGTCCAGTCATGACCCTGCGCCCCTCACTACTCCCGCTCCGTCTGCTGCTGCTGCTCAGTGGGGCGGTGTGCCGGACTGAGGCTGGGTTTGAAACCGAAAGTCCCGTCCGGACCCTCCAAGTGGAGACCCTGGTGAGGAGAGGGTGTCCCGGGGCTGCGGCGGCTGGGCCTTGGGAGGGAATGAGGGGGTCTGAACGAACCTGGGAGCGGGGAGGAGAGCGAGTGCGGGAACTGGGCAGGGGAGTGCCGGGTGCAGGGGCAGGAACGGGATCTCTGGAGGAGCCTGCGTGACTTCCTCAGTCCGATCATAGGTGGAGCCCCCCGAGCCGTGTGCGGAGCCCGCTGCCTTTGGAGACACGCTCCACGTACACTACACGGTGAGGGATCTGGGGGGCCGGGTCGGGGCCTGGGAGGGGGCGGCGCCCTGCTGGAACACGTCAGCGTTGGCTGCGACACGTGGCAAGCGGTGCGGGAGTTAAGTTGGAGCTCTGGGGTCGTCGAGCACGTGGCGGGGGTAGGGGCGCTCCTCTTGCCTGCCCATTTCCCTTCCCCGCTTTTCCGCCAGTTCCGCCCCGGCGCAGAGAAGCGGAGGGTGGGGAGAGCTCCGAGAAGTGCCAGCCCTTTGGGGCTTCCTGTTGCTTTCTGCCCAGAGGGGACTGCTGGGCTGCAGCTGCGAGGGGGGTGCCGCCGCCGCCCGGGGGCCCAGGTGAGTGTGGTGCGCGCCTGCTGAGAGGGAGCTACTAGGTGTGCGCTCCTGCTGCCCTCTCCCCACAGGGCAGCCTGCTAGATGGACGCATTATTGACACTTCGCTGACCAGAGACCCTCTGGTTATAGAACTTGGCCAAAAGCAGGTGATCCCAGGTATGTGACCTGCGCCTCCCATTCTATTTCTTCCCAGCCTAAGCCCTTCTTCGCCTCCTCAAGCCCTGAAATACATTGGAAATGCCCCCCAGGACTCTACCGGTCACCTCCTGAGGTTCAAATATGGTTTCTAACACTCCTTTTGCCCCATGCCCCACTGGCAACCAGGGATTTGAGAAGTGGGCAGCGCAGTTGAGGGTCGTAGGGAGCCTTAGATCCTCCTCTCCTGGGATTTGGGGAATGTAGGTAGCTTCCTGTTCAGTTGTGTCTTCTTCCTCAAGGTCTGGAGCAGAGCCTTCTAGACATGTGTGTGGGGTGAGTATCTGGGCAGGGGTGGGCTTGGGTACCCCCTTTGCATGGGGGGAGGCTTACTTTGCTATCCTTGCTCCTAGAGGAGGCAGAAGAATGTGTGATAAAAGCTTTGCACTGGGCAGGTCCGGGTCATTGGGACCCCTAAGGGCATCCAAAGCCACTGTGCCTATCTGACTGTGGGTTTTGTTGGAGGAGTTGAGGCATATGGGGGGACAGAGACCTTTCCTGGTCAACCTGCTTGGTGCTCAGGTGGGAAAGTTCATCATTTGGAGTGAATATCCAGAGAGTTTTGCTGGTGGGGCTGCAGATGGACTGAGGCTGCGGGCCCACCTGGTCCCACCTCTAGCTGTGATTCACATTCCTTCCCTCAGAGAGAAGCGAAGGGCAATCATTCCTTCTCACTTGGCCTATGGAAAACGGGGATTTCCACCGTCTATCCCAGGTAATCTGTCGAGGCCTTTCTCTCTCAAGGCAGTCAAAATACCCAGGCCCTCAGAGCTCTGTTTGGAGCTTGAAAAAGTCTAAATCCAGTTTTCTGAAAAGGCCAGGGGTGGCTGGGGCCTCCTTCTGCAGGGCTGCTTTTTTCCTCTTCAGATCACCAACAGGGACTAGAGACCTAGAATCTGTTAAGGCTACCTGGCTTCCCTCTGGCAGAAAGCAACTTTTTAGGGAGGAGACACCTACTTGAGCCACTTGGGTCTGTTGCCTCTGCTACCCCTTCTCAGAACTCTAGACTTTTTCCTGCCTTTTCTTTATCACCACATCTCCACCCCTCCTTTCAGGCTCCCCCAGGGAGGAGGCAGTAAAAATATTCACAGTCAAGTAAATCAAAACAAAGCAAAACAAAAAACAACTTTTGGAAGCCAAGTCCACCCTATAACTTTAAAAGCTATCGGGTGCCTGGGTGGCTCAGATGGTTAAGCGTCTGCCTTCGGCTCAGGTCATGATCCCAGCGTCCTGGGATTGAGTACCGCATCGGGCTCCCTGCTCCTTGGGAGCCTGCTTCTCCCTCTGCCTCTCTCTCTCTCTCTGTCTCTCATGAATAAATAAATAAAATCTTTAAAAAAAAAAAAAAAAGGCTATCAACAGGTCACCGGACAGATTTCCTAAGATGCAGATCTCTTGTTTTGGGTTATGACAAATGTCCTATTAGCTAAAATGTTTTGTACTTCAGATTATTAGGATAAAAGTTCTTATCCTAGTTCCAACTTAGAGGAAGAACCGCAAAGAGGGTCATGGGACTAAAGAAAAACTCTTTTACCCAAAGCTCTGTGATCTCCCCATTTCCAGTGTTTGCATTTCTCCCTGACTCACTCTTCTTCATTCACCTGCTCCTTACTTCTTAAGCCACCTCCTTCGTCTGTGTTGAAACATCTATGTTTTCTAACAGTCACATTGCATGTGCTCCTTGGTTGGTGACATTTTAAAATGTCTAGGTTAGGGCGCCTGGGTGGCTCAGTTGGTTGAGCGACTGCCTTCGGCTCAGGTCATGATCCTGGAGTCCCGGGATCGAGTCCCGCATCGGGCTCCCTGCTCGGCGGGGAGCCTGCTTCTCCCTCTTACCCTCCCCCCTCTCGTGTGCTCTCTGTCTCTCTCATTCTCTCTGTCTCAAATAAATAAATTTAAAAAAATCTTAAAAAAAAAAAAATCCTTTTAAAAAAAAAAATAAAAAATGTCTAGGTTAAATCCAGTTAATTTCAGCCCTGCAAAGATTCTATCGATGTGGCTATTTGGAAATGGGAGTACAGTTAGTATAGAGGTTCTCTCACTTATCACTGGCGAACAGCCTGTATGTCTTAGATCCACAGAAAGTTTCCCTATCCTGTCATAGACTTGTCACTGAACACAAGCCACACTTGGAGATTTGGGGTAAACATAACTATCAGTAGAGTCTGCTCATAACCCTTCTCTACTTTTGTCTAAAGGAACTCAACATGTTTAAATCTTGTCAGCTTCATAGTTTTTGCTGTGGTGTGGCCTGCCCTCCCTGTTTTCATTTAGATTCTGAGCCCTGGATAAAATGCAGAGATTCTAACCCTCACCTCCTCTCTGCCTTCAGCGGATGCAGTGCTGCAGTTTGATGTGGAGCTGATTGCACTGATCCGAGCCAACTACTGGCAAAAGCTGGTGAAGGGCATTTTGCCTCTGATAGGCATGGCCATGGCACCAGCCCTCCTGGGCCTCATTGGGTATCACCTATACAAAAAGGCCAACAGACCTAAAGTCTCCAGAAAGAAGCTCAAGGAAGAGAAACGAAACAAGAGCAAAAAGAAATAATAAATAATTTTTAAAAATTTCTCTGGATTCTTCACCTGATACTTTCTGAGGCTACTGCTGTAAGTGGGAATGAGGTAAAGGGCTGGGGTAAAAGGCATTCTGAGTTGGATCTTGCCTGACATTGGGGTGGTTGGAGGCTTTGGATCACCTCTTCCCCTGCCTCTTCTTGTCCTAACTTACCGCCAAGGACCTGCTCTTGAATGTTTCCATAGGATCTCTACACCCCAAAGGTATTGGTTCTGGCCCTCCTAGTGCCCAGACTCGAAGAAGCAGTGCTTCATGAACAATGAGCCTCCTGATAATTGCCTAGCTATTATCTCCACTCTCTGGGGCCACCGTATTCCTAGTATCTTCCAAGTAGACTGCTCTGTCCAATATGGCAAACATAGAAGGAGCTCATAAACCTCATGGAAATTTTTAATAGCAAAGTCCTCTGGTCTCTCAAAAAATTGTTTGGGGTTTGAAAAGCGATTTTCTCCTTATATCACAGGATGTGGGAGATCACATGGGCTGCTTCAATGATGTAAGTGGTTGGAGGTGGTTTGTCACCTGGCTGGGTGGTAGGTGTGGACAAAGGCTGGGGTAAGTTACTTCGATGGTTGACGATAAAGAGTGGGTTGAGCTGGCTCATCACTTCGTCACTCACTGAGATGCCATCCAAGTACTGCTTCAGCATCTCCCGCAACTTCCCATTGATTTCTAACAACTGGACATGTCTATGTTGGAGGCTCAGTTGCTCCAGTTTCACTTTGTTGTACCTTTTCCAGAAATTCTCCATCCCTGTGTAGTTTACTATCACCTGGGAGTTGGTTAAAGGGAGAAGGTGCATATTGAGGCCCATTAACAAATGCAGCCCAGTACCCCATGATCCCCAACCTTGGGTGATGGCCTCTGGACCCTAGGAACTTTTACCTTTGCGAGCTGCTCGGTAAGCTCCTCTGGGTAAATTTCTTCTATCTCCTCCTGCTCCTTGGGAGTCAAGACTGATGAATAGAAAGGCAGCACTTTTTCTTCCTCTGTTTCAAACTTCCTACATATTTCAGCAAGTTTCAGGATCTTTTCACCCTATCAGAAGCAGGAAGAGACCTTTTATTAGGAAAGGGGGTGGGGAGGGGAAATAGTGGAGCTGGTTCCCCTGCTTAAACCCAGGGAAGCAATTCATCCAAACGTGAGACAAGAGTAATGAATACATCTAACACAGAGTGCTTACTAGGTGCCAAGCACTATTCCAAGTGTTTTACAGTCTTAGCAAATTCATTATTAATTCATTTAATTTAAAATGTGAGAGGGGAGGGAACACGGAATAAAAAAGGTACTCCAGATGTCCACTCAGGCAGGATGCAGGAGAAAGCCCTCTACCTCTCTCAGACCCCTTTCGCTTCGCAGGGAGCCAAGTTCCTTGGTTTTGTTTGACTGCCCTCTCCCCTGTTACCTTATCGACGATCCTTCTCAGGGCCTTGAGGGTGGCATTACTTTCCAAGGTGAGTTTGACTAAGTTTTCCTGGGATAGTTCCCGGGCCTGAGTCCTTTGGGCCTTAAGTTTTCGCAGTTGGGCAAGGACCAGCTCCTTGTCCTTACGAATGTACTGGTTCTGGTCTTCACTCTCACGGCTGTGCACCATGATCTTGCTTTTTAAAATAATTATGGAGTCCTGGAAGAACAGAGTTTAGAGGAAACCCTTGACAAGCTAAAGGTCTTCAGTGAGACAGGTAAAAGGACAATCTGGGGACTGAAATCCAAGGATCTTGTCTTTCCCCAACCAGTGACAGGGTCCAGTGGAAACTGGGAGAAGATGACCAGGGGATAATGGAGCAGTTAAAGCAGTGAGTATTTCCAGTTGGCTGCACTCACCTGTAGTCTCTGTATTTTTTTCATCTGTGCTTCAATCTCTTTGGAGCTCTTCTCATCTTTCACCTGCAGAGTCTCAAAGGCAATCTTTTGGTCCTCTGTGGCATCGGTGTAATTCTTGAGTGCATCCTGGAACCTTCTCCACAGATCTTCTACTATGTTCTCCAGTTTCAGTCTTAGAAAATGCTTCTCTTCTAAATTCTAGGAAGTGGCACCAAAATAGCCAGTGCTTGGAATTACTCTGTCAGTGCCCTTTTACTGCCTCCAGCACCCTCACCCTCTTGAACTGCTTATAACCCAGTACAGTGCAGAGGTCGCCAATGAAAACGCCTACAAAGACCAGGCAGATGATGTAAATAAGTGCTGCAAGTTAGAGGGGGCCTGTGGTGAACCAGAGAAGAAATGCTCCATGGTCATTGGGGGAGGCGGGTAGCAGATCTGTTCAGCTCCACACGAATGTATTCCCATTTGGAAATGTGACCCAGTGTTACCAGATCTTTTTTCAGGAGAAGCTAAAATTTTGGGTTTTTATGTGAAATCTCCCCCATTTTTCTTTTATTAAAAAAAAAAAATTTTTTTTTTTTTAAATTAAGTAGGCTCCATGCCCAACATGGGGCTTGAACTCATGACCCTGAGATCAAGAGTCGCATGCTCTATGGACTGAGCCAGCCAGGCCCCATGCTGAAATCTCCCAATTTTTATTATTTTTTATTTTTTTATTTTTTTAAAGATTTTATTTATTGGGGTGCCTGGGTGGCTCAGTCGTTAAGCGTCTGCCTTCGGCTCAGGTCATGATCCCAGGGTCCTGGGATCGAGTCCCGCATTGGGCTCCCTGCTCAGTGGAAAGCCTGCTTCTCCCTCTCCCACTCCCCCTGCTTGTGTTCCCTTTCTTGCTGTCTCTCTCTCTGTCAAATAAATAATAAATCTTAAAAAAAGATTTTATTTATTTATTTGACAGAGAGATAGAGAGCACAAGAAGGCAGAGAGGCAGGCAGAGGGAGAGGGAGAAGCAGGCTCTCCTCTGAGCAGGGAGCCCAACGCGGGTCTCGATCCCAGGACCCTGGGATCATGACCTGAGCCGAAGGCAGCCGCTTAACCGACTGAGCCACCCAGGCGCCCCAAATCTCGCAATTTTTAAATGTAGGAAGCTTATTTTAAAAATTTACAAAACATGGTGCGCCTGGGTGGCTCAGCTGGTTAAGCGTCTGCCTTCAGCTCAGGTCATGATCCCAGGGTCCTGGGATCGAGCCCCACTTCAGGCTTCCTGCTCAGCGGGAAGCCTGCTTCTCCCTCTCGCACTCCCCCTACTTGTGTTCCCTCTCTCGCTGTGTCTCTTCCTGTCAAATAAATAAAAAATAAAATCTTTAAAAAAAAAAAATTTACAAAACACTATGGAGCAAAAAAAAAAAAAAAGAACCCCATGCCCAAACCCAGGTCTGCAGGATAGCTAAGTGTGCAGCCTCTGGGATGGTGGATAGCACTTTGGGCCAAGGGCAGACCTGGATTCTCCTGGTTCTATCACAAAGCAGCAGCATGACTTTGGCAGATCATTTTATTTCTTTGGGCCTTAGTTTCTTCATCTACAAATCACAGGCGTGAAGCCAAATGATCTCCTTGGTGCCTTTTAGCTTTAAAATGCATTTCCTTGACATTTCAGAATGGCTCTTCCCAACCAATTTCTACAAAATTACAAAATGCAGTAGGGGTACAGGCATTTTCTTGATTGTGTTGGTTAGGTGTCTCGAGGACCTCCAGTGGCCTAGAGCATTTTTCTCTCCCTTCTCTCCCAGCTCTTGCCCAGCTACTCTCCTTCCGTACCTTGTTTTTGAGATCATCCCACATGCTCTGGAACTCTAGCTTACTTTCATACTCAGAATCTATATAGCTCTGCTCCATGGCCATGAAGACATCTTGTAGGTAGTGAATCTCTTTTTCATGCTGGTCAATAATTGTCTTCCTGTGGGACATAAGACACTGTCCCTGCTCTGAAGGATAAAGCATATGGACCAAAAAGGACAACTCAAAGCAGTATGTAGTAAAACTACACGAGTGGTTCAAACTCCTAGGTACTGAAGGGTCAGGGAGGGAGGGTAGGCTCTCTTCGTTTTAGGGTCGGAAAGAGTGAATAAGATTATTTTGATTTTTGGATAGGCAATACATTCATATGATATGAAAAGCAATAAAGTACCAAATGTTTCAGTGAGAAGTCTCCCTCCCCTCCCTGTCCCCTGCCAGATGGGTTGGATTTTGATAGCTGAAAGCAGGTGGTGAGGGTGTTACAGAGAGAGACCTGGCATGGGCATAGGGAGGCTGAAGCCACAAGCTTAAACCCGCATTAGGTGAGAAGGAACTCTGGATGGTCTCTGGTGGGGGTCAGGTCATAAGCAAGGGGGGATGCTCCAGGTTGCTGGCCGCCCGCTTAGAGGTAGCTCCTCGACACAGGCCCTGGATACTCTCCTGGACTCAATCCCCGATTTCCTCTTAGGCCCGCATACCTTTCTGTCTCAAACTCTTTGGTTAGGGCCTCCAGCTCCGTGTTGTAACTTTCCTCTAGGAGGTTAAGCCGGCATCTCTGCAGGGCTAAGAGCTGGTCGATGCTGTGCAGGTGACTGCGCAGGGCATGGGCGTACTGCTCCTCTGCTTCGGACAGGTCCTTGGCTAAAGACTGGGTAGGAAACAGAGTTGCCATTTTGGCTGAATGGCCTCAGTGCGAGAAAATAAGAGTGTATTCAGCTGGATGGCATGAATGGCATTTTCCCCTAGTTCCTGATGCCAGCTCTCTGGCTCTAGGAGAGCTGGTTCTCTGACTCATGATCGGAAAGTAAGAGTGACATCAGGGAACCCCACGTAGCCAGGCAGTGTCCTAGGGACAACAGACATGTATAACGATGAGGCTACCACTAAAAGGAATTGAGGATTCTTGGAGAAATGGCTGCTCCAAAGTCTGAGGCAGAAAATAAACAAGTAGAACCTAGGGTATCTTTTTTTTTTTTTTTT